GTGTGTGTGTGTGTGTGTGTGTGTGTGTGTGTGTGTGTGTGTGTGTTTAATCACAAATGAGCACAGGTGGCAAATGAGACTTTGAAGGGAGATTTAATTACATGGAGAAAACTTTTTCTCATTCCAGGCCATTCTTACAGAGATGGCAAAGACAAAACTTTGTACGATAAAGCTCTCTTCTCTCCTTTTTGTTTCTACACTTTACAGTTCAGTTTTGCTTTGTATAAAGGACATCTAGCTGTGGCTAATTTGTAGCCTCTGTTCTTGCTCAGGCTTTGTTAATTTAGTAAAAAGTAAATAAATAAAATACACACCACATCCTCTTTCACTCATAAACTCCTGCATTTCCAGACATTTGAATTTTGCGCATTTTTATTTGGCTATATATTAGGCAAATATAAGCTTAGATATAAACATGTTAAGAATGCATTTATTCTGTTTGTTGGCATTTCATGAACACATGTAATGCCACAACACATAACAGACACATAAGTGGACAATAAAAGAGGCTGTTAATTTATAACCGAAGTTTGATGCAAACAATACAAGCAACACAAAACAAACAAAAAAAAATGTTCTTTTGGGTTAATCAAGAAGCTGCAGTCTTGGGAAGGTCAGGGCCAATGTTTTAACTTCTCATTTTAAGACTTGATAAAGACCAGATAATTTAAAAGAAAGAACTCTGTTATGTGAAACTTTACAAATGATAAAAAAAAAGTAGTCATGAGTGTTTGTTGTACTTTGGTCATGAACACTTGTAACCATCAACAGGTACGTTATTGAGCGTATAGCCACAGAGGACCCCAGTGTACACGTCTCCTCTGAGGATCTGGGAGGSCACTCGGGTGAACAAGAGGACCAACAAATTAAAGAGGTGGTGCAGCAGTTGCTTAAAATAGCTGATGAACTGAACAGTAATGCGGAGTTTGAGAGGTAAGTTCTTCATACACACAACCACCTTAGTCTACAGATAGTTTTGAAAAATTGTTAAATTGGACAAAATGGRAAGATGTTGAAAGGAAAACCTACAGGTAAACCAAGAAAGACCTCAAACTTTTTTTTTTCTTTTCCAGACTAATTAATCAGGTTCAGACCAACTGTGCAAAGGAAGTCTTCATGATGGTGACCAGGAGCATCTTTATTGATGGCATCAACTGGGGTCGAGTGGTGGCTCTCTTCCATCTTGGCTACAGACTTATTTACAGGGTAACTGTTCTTGTTTGACCGGTATTTGTCTGTTGTTTCCAGTCTGACTGTTGTTTTATGTCACAACAAACCAGTGGTGTGTGTGCWCATGAATCAGTGTGTTTGTGCTCTGTCTGATTCCTGACAGTGGCTGCTTAGSGTTAGCTACCTCAGTTTGTCAGATAGCATCAGAGACGTTGTGCCACAAGTCATGCCTGTTTTAATTATTATTGTTACTGAATGTCTGACCTCAAACCTGACAGGTTAGAGTAGTTTTGTTTAAAGCATCAACAATGTCTTAGAATGAAACTGAAAAATCTGATGCWTAAGTGCCCACAATAGATGGTAATTGGATTCTTTTTCCTGTTTTTTTTGTTTCACCACACCTGAAAGACTTTTACCCTTTTAGAACAGAACATAATGGTAAAATGTCAATCCGAATACTGACATAATAAAATATTCTCTACTCAATACAAGTTTTGATACTGCAAGTAGTGAGGCTGGAAGGATTCAACAAATAGAAGAAACCCACAAGAAAGTAGGTAGGAATCCCAAGATATCAAACTATAAGATTCAAGCTAGTATAAATGGCTCACTATACCAGTAATGGAATAACATGTAACCAGTAAATTACTAGGAAATGTAAAATAATATCTCACAGTATCTGGGATCCAAACTGGATCTTCATCTGGTCTAAACTTAGTTACTTGAGTTTGTAAGTACTTCTCGTTGGTTCAGCTATTAACATTATTTGCTCAATTAGATATGCTTAAAATGGGCAGAAATTAAAATATTGAATAGGCTTTAAAACATACATTTGTGATGATGAGTTTGGTTCTCCACCTGTCCAAGTAACCTACAATTGATTTTCAGACATCAAGGTGTGTTTTCAAAAATGGGTCAACATTTAATTTAATTTATTTTTTAGCATTGTACTTAAACATACCATATTCACTTGGGGCCTCATGTACAAAGATTTGCGTGGATTTCTCACTGAAACGTGGCGTACGGTCAAATCCAGAAARCRGCGTACGCACAAAAAAATCCAGATGTTTCAAACCGTRCGTACGCCTGAATCCACGCACATTTCTTTTGTACATCACAATCAACGTGGAACTGAGCRCAGGTAAGACACCTCCCCTGACACGCCTTCATTAACATATGTTAAACAGATATGAATTACTTCCTGTATGTGTGAAGGACATGTTTGTTTGATCCCTGCGCGATCAGAAATGATTTCTAGAGTCAGAAAAATAATGAATTTAATATAATGTGAGAAAAAAAATCCTAAGTAAGAATAGGAATAAAATATGTTTGTCGTATAAAGAACGCGTGATTGTGTGTCAGTGTGTGTGTGTGTGCGTGCGTGCGTGTGCGCACACTACTGTGGTGCGCAACAAGCTCATCCATCCATTCTGAGTCTGGAAATATTAACTTTACGCAGGAGTTTATTACCATAATTACTGTAAACACAGAGGAACTTAGCTGTTTGGTAGAACGTAGATCTTTGTTTGTTTCATAGCTGATATGAAGAAACGAGTCTCTGCGTCTCAGTGGAGCGTTTTCATGACGTGACGTGATGTTGGAGGGTTAGAGTCAAATGGATGAGACCGTCCTGTTGGGCATGGCTGGACTTTGGGTGGACTGGACTGGCACAGTCCCGATCGGTCTGCCAGCTCCCTCTGGAAAGCTCTTGTGGAACCCCAGTTTGATCGCTGCTGCTGCACGCATAGCGCACGACTTTTCACTGAGTTGCACTCCCGGAGCGCCACAGTGTCAAACTGAAAAAGGATTTTTCCTCTAAACGGCTGATGAGCCAGTCGTCATCGTGAATCATAAAATTCTATCTGTTTATAAATAAATGCTCTGCGTGTTACACTATTTATTATATCCTCCAGTAAGGCTGAATCCGTTCCTGGTAAATGTATTTTTGGCACAACTTTGCGCGTCTTTTATCTAACTGTGTCCATGTGGATGTAATAATTGTTAATCATGTGGATGTAATAATTGTTAATCATGTGTGTCTGGTGTGAACAATAATCATTTTCACATCATGAACAGTTTCTCAGAATCACCTCTAGTGTTGCCAATGGAACCAGAACCACAGAAACGTGCGTACGCCAGCCCTGGAGTTGGCGTGGGGCTGCRCACATTTCCACATTTATTTCAGTTTTGATACATCCGGAGTTTTGCGTGGAAAATGGCGTATGCAAGGTTTTTGTGCGTACGCACCATTGATACATGAGACCCCAAGACTATACCAAAGGAGCTTTGCAGTTATAAACAATCATTATTAGTTAACTGGCAGTGCTCCTATAGACTGTCTTTAAAAACTTTTATAATCCGCCTTGTTTAAAGACTTTGCTTCATCCACCATGATAGTTTGATTGCTCGGACTGAGCCGACCGGAGCTCCACTCACGWATGCAACCGTAATGAAACATTTAAGCACTGGAAAGCTAAATTCCTAAAAAGAAAATAAGAATCAAATGTTGACCAAAAATATGGACGTCAACAAAATAAAACTGCTGATTACATAAACATGATTAGTGTCACCTATAAGTTTATTATTTAACTTTTGTTTTAAAGGCTCTGACCACCAACCATATGGAGAACATCAGAATGGTCATCAGCTGGGTTCTTCAGGTCATCAGGGAGCAGCTTTATCCCTGGCTAGTACAGCAGGGAGGCTGGGTGAGTGATCTGTCATCATCAAATGTTGGTTAAAGCTTTTTTTATGTTTGGTACAGGCAGCTGCATCCCTTGTTTTTTATGTTTCCAGGTGGGGGTAATTCAGAATTTTTCCCGATGGAGGAATGTAGCCATTGCAGCGTCTGTAGTTTTGGTGGTAACCTTTGTTTACTACAGGAAGACACACTGACACCACCAGGCTTCATAAAGACTGATGGGTTTCTGGATCCATGCAGTCTACAGATACAAACAGTTTCTTGGACAACAATTTCAATCATCCCTCAACCTCCGTCACAGTCTGACAAGAAGGAGAACAGACGCTGCACTCGGAAGAGTAAATCTTCTCTCTTCTCAGGTTTTCAAGAATCAAAAGGTGCTTTTGCAACCAGTTTTTCTCTTATCGTCTCAGTCTGCCTTCACCAGCAGGGAATCAGTGTCTTCCATAGATTTAGTTTTGTTCTGCAGGACCACGTAGCTGCCTTATAAGAAGCTGTTCTTAGCAGGTGATGGTGTTTCTGCTCATGCTGCAAGTCACCAAACAAACAGAAGGACTCCAGCTGACGAGATGCACATCAGAATCACACACCAGTTCAGTGAAACCTGGTGGGTCTCAATAATACTTGAGTAAATTAAAAATATATATTCTTAGGGGAATCAGGATTCTGAAAATGAGTGACTCCAATGTGTCTTTGCTTCATGTTCGCTCGTGCTTGAAACCGTATTTTGTACAAGAAGTTGGCCATTTTATGTTTTCTTTTTGTTCTGCAGGACTGCACTATTGCAGTTTAAAATGGCTGATTTCCTTTTTTTGGGAGTTTTAAAATGAAACAAAGCCCAACATTCCATACTATAAATATCATTTTGGGTGAGAAAAAAATAGAACTGAGTAAAATTTTCTCAGTATAATCTTATAATGACC